GTAAGTGGGCAAATCATGGAGGGACTACATCACCGATGTTATATCATATACTCTCAAATTAATGGGTATTCCTAGCAAAAAAGGGAGAAACATGCATGCTCTGATTCTCTGAAAGTTTATAAAACTGCTCTTATGGTGACGTTACACGGTACAAATCGCAATGACGATTTTCAGCGCAAGAGAGCTTTGCAACATTTTTGCTAATAGTTTCGAATTGTCGTAGATTGTTCCAACTGATTAATTGTCCTGGAATCGATCTTGCAAATCTTCTCGCGTAACATCACCTTTAATAAGAAAATTAAATGGAGTTAATGTTAACAAAGCCATAAAAGCTCGATACTGCATCTCTGCATACCTTTTTTTCATTGTTAAGAGCTGAAAAAGTTTTGAATTTAGATACCTTTCTGTAATACTCCGTAAGTATGCTGCAATCTTTTTATGACCATTTTCATCAGCAATATTTTCTGGTAAAGGGGATTTATTCTTGTATGCCTCAAACCCTGCACGTCCAGCCGAGGTGCCAAACACCAATCGAATGAACTTCTCCTCCCCTATCCGCGCAGCCGTGAAAAGCAAACGACACAATATCTGTACTGATTGTAGTTGTCTACCTTCTTGCGGAAGTCCTAAAAAAGCGTTTTCAGTAATGTAAAATTTCATGACTTTGTAAAGTGTTAGTACAGCTCTAAGCCTGTTTTACCCAACGATACCATCAAAGTTTTGGCAAAGCATACCTTTGAGAACCATTAGCTTTTGGAAAGAATAGTGATACCAAGGGATTATTGTTGTTTGTTGTTGTTGTTTGTTATTATTATGCAGGATAGCAAAGGTTGAATTTTGGTCCATAGATATAAGTTTGCTTTATAGCTGAACCTGAAGTCTCAATTCTTTAAACTACATATAAACAATGACAATAGGCAGGTTTCTCGACTTCACACAGTTCCCATTGTTGGTGCTATAGCAGCTATCCTAGAGATTACGATCTCTTCCGATCGAGGTGATTTCTGATTATTTCTCTATGAGGACTGACAAGCTACAAGCTCGATTTGGTTATTTCAAAGTTGAACTCACCCAAGACATCAGTCCCTAGATCGCTCGAATTTTGATTTTGGTCCAATTTGTTGAAAAAGTCTGACCAGATCTCCGGATTGTTTAGTATGTCTTCAAATGCCTTTTCAGTCCTGTCCATATAAGTAAACTTTGTCGTTCCGTTCCCAACTACCACTCTGACAGTCTGTCCTTCAAAGTCGCCACCTTAATTAGCCATGTAAATAATAAAATTGAAAAACAAAATTTTATGGTAATTATGACATCACTTCAATGAAAACTGAAAACTGATGCGCGAGCAGTCTACACGGTCACCAGTTTTCTTGCCTTAAATTAGAGCTCATTATGCAGTTAGTAGCCCGCAGAACAGAAGTTATTTTGTGTGCTTTTCAGACGAGCAAAGAGAAGCGCGACGCGGGCGTAGAGTACAAGTCGCGCTGTAATAATGCATTTACTTACCTGGAGTGACTCCAAGCCACGAATTTCCCTCAGGTGCTCGAACTAGGCCTGCTTGCCTCCTTCCAAAGAAGGCCTGCAAAATTGGCACTGAACTGTCCACCTGAATATTGTTAAGCTTTACTGGGGTGCCACCCTGGTTGAAAAACGATTAACACGAGAACTGATCTCAAAAACATGAATTTAGATCAATTTAGGTATAACATAAAAGCCACTGTACAAAGGAAATGAAAGCACTTGCCGCTGAAAGAAGAGAAATATTTTCGCACAATTATTATACTCTCCTCTAAGAGAGTGGATTATAACCCTTTAGATAGCAACGACTAAGGCCAGGCTACGCCTGCGATAACCCTCGCGATCAGCAGGCTTTCCGGCCATGGTTATTAAGAAAAATGGTGAAAAAATGGCATAATGCGAATTAAGGTTCGCGAGGCGAAGACTACATTGAACCAGTTCTATGTAACTGGTCTGGAAAGGTTCAAGGATGGGATTGACTGAAAGAATGATGTAAAATTTTTAAGTTAAATTATTTTGCCAAGTTGTCACTACACAAGCTACTTGACGTAATCGTAAGCACTTTGTTGGAGGCCTTGTCAGGGTAAAATTTTTACAAGCGATAGTGCCTTGAAACGGCGGCATAAGACAGCTAAAATGGTGACGAACGGCACAAAGATGGATTAAAACTTTCACAGCGACGATGTATTTCACTATAGTGAAACAACTACTGAGACATAGCTTCGGCCTCTATACGCGGAACGATGGGTTCTGAAATTCCCCTCCCTCCCCCCTCAGGGGGGTCTTAATAAGTGAGATACACTTGGAACGACTTAGGTGGATTTGTGGCTCTGAGAATATAATCGAAAATCATCACTAGTGAATGTTCAGTAATATTCAGTAATCAGGAGCAAGTGAATCTCTTGAATTTTAATAGCAAAATTTTAGCCCATCAAAACAAGCAAATAAGTTCAGGACCTTTTATTTCTTCCTTGCCACAGTAAACGTAAACATGGTGTAACTGTCACCCCTGTTTTCAAATTCAAATGATGATGCGGTTACATCAAGGATGCGATAAACCCCTTGCTAGCTGACCTCGGGAGCCGTACATACCACTTATTAACCGTGAGTGAGGTCATTACAGGGAAATTGAGGCCTTGATGTTAATACATTAAGGCCGAGGTCAGAGATTTCCTTGTAATGAACGAACGGACAATGTTAGTAAGTTATTCATTTTATGGCCTTTTTAGCGCTATCCTTAAAATGAATACAATAAAAAAATAGCGGAAGCAATGTCAACATCCGAGGTCATTCGAGGTAGTGTTCACTGAACGAAAACAGACCTGGCGATGCGATGGAAACCACAAGACACAGTTTCTATCACAAAGAGAAATTTTGTACCTCAGCCTGCGGTCAATTAAAGTCAACAACTGGTCAGCAGATAACTTTGAAAAAACACGTCACGTTAATGAATTGTACACTTGAACCTCGATACAGTCGTGTGACACTGGTCAGCGGCTACTCTTTTAATAGCTGTCAATTAACCGTAACATGGATGTCCACTATCAAGTTAAACACAGATCGATTGTATATGCCTTAGACACCTAGCTAGTAATACCTGATCATTACAAGAAAATCTTGCCCCCTTAGCAACCAAACAGAGCGCGCGTACTGTTGTAGATATATAATATTTAACAATTAATGAATGAGGCTGAGTATCTTATGAAGAATTATGGAGATCGAGGAGGGTGTTATCCGTCGAGGCCGTAGGCCAAGGCAGATAACACCCTCCGAGATCTCCATAATTCTTCATATGATACGAAAGCCGAATTCAATAATTGTTTTATTATTCATTCGAAATAATTCCTAGTTTAAAAGCATGGCTAACACATGCTTACCTCCATCGATCCATCGACGATAAGTTCATCTTCGATACGGCACGTTTAGGTTTGTCCAGCTCCGCAAATATTTTCCAAATAGCAGATGTAGCCCTTCGAGTTGTCTTCTTGCTGTTCTTGCCATGTTTTTAGCCATGTTTTTGCCTAGTTCTTACTCTGAAACGAGTGAAATATCCGCCATTTTTCATTTGACAACCAAAACAACTCAACCTCGTCCCTAGGTGTTCTCGGTTAACGGTGCCTTAACCTGCGAAAACGCTGCATTTTGACGTCATTTCATCGTTAAACACAAAATTCTTCCAAATTTGGTCATCAGTAACTGGTTATGGTGAATTAAACGAGTGCTTTTAGCCAATCAGAATCGGGAAAATATTTTGAATGAATAATACTATGTAATATTGGCACGTAGCAGTGCGAATCAGAACGTGTAGGGCCATATTTGTTTCCTTTTAAGGGAAAAGAAACCCTTCCGTACTGTATTGAAGTTAACCTCCGGTTCGGCTTTCCCGGGTTTTCATAATAACACCAGCGGCACAACACTCAGTCAAACAGTTTTAGTTTGAAAACAGTCGGCGATGTACAGTTTTGAAACATCAAATTACCTCTAAATTATAAGGAAATCTGTTTGGAAGTCATACAAGGACAGATAACCGAAGCTTCAGACTGAAACCAGCCAAACAAGGATTTCACTTGTATTTCAATTTGTTGTAGCTGTATCCGACGACGTGTTTGGGCTTTGTCTCTCGCAAAGAAATTTAAAAACAAAAATATAGACAAAGACTACCAAACAGTTGTCTAAAGGTGTACTGGACTGCTGTCGCCAAGCCGATTTGCTTCACTATATCCGGATTGTCTAGCTCTGCTCTTCTCCGCTTAGTAAGTCAGTAATCATAAACACGAAAAGTCTGAAGTTTAAATACAAAAGACATCAAGCACGTATTTCGAAACAAAAAGAGAGAAATATACATTGACGAAAAACATTTCATGCCTACCTGAACAGGACCCCAATCAGGCTCAATAAAAATGTTCCTGAGGGTTTCCAACGGACTTGGTTGACTTATGTACTCTTTATTTTAAAGAAAACATCAACAACAACATGTGTTTAGTAAACAACTAGAATTTGGGTAATCTCTAAAGTTGTACCTGTAAATGAAAATCAAGAGCCAACCTACCCGCTGCGGATGACACACCACTATCCGTTCCCTAATTGTGATGACAAAAAATAAAAAAAAATTAAAAAGAGGGAGAAGAAGAAGGCGGATCGTCCTCCAAAATAATACAGTAGATATCCTCTCTGATCGTCTGTAAGTAGAGTAACGATTTCCGGTGAACTGTACGGACGCATTCCTGCAAAAACTGGTCTTAATGCAAGACTGAGAAACACTTATTTGGCTGTTTGCAATCGTATCTTCGGTATTACATGCATTACTAGTCGAGGCAGTGCCATCATCAACCTAACTGCTCACATATTAAACTGCCCATTTTTGCGTCTCTTAGGTTTGCGTTGAATAATTCTCACCCTCTTTTTAAGAAGGTACTACAAGGTGTATACTACAATCTTACTATTTGAAGAAAATTTCTGGAGAACGAATAACCTACGTGTACCTCATCTTCCACAACGATGTACAGTGCAGACGATCCTGGCAGCTTCCTTTTGATGGTAATGCCATCCCAGACACGCCGGTCACCATCAAAATTAAGTTTGGCACTGTCCCTGCTTTCCCGTTTAGCACACGAAAACCTTAACGAAAAAAAAAAAAAAAGGAAATCAGATGTTAATATATCTACTCAATAGTCAATAAGTCCAATATCTACTACAGGGATAGCAAATGACTTACGTGGATGTGCACGCACACTAAATTAAACAATGACTACTAGGAGTATCGTTTGAATGTTTAAACGGACATGGTGTAACTGTGTCTTACAGCTACATCGCTAATAGATCGAAAGCTTCAAAAACTCATTATCATCCCGATCATCCGTCAGTATATATGACTGAATTGTGTACCGGGAGATAGAAAAGCAAAATCTTAATTTCTGTCAAATCCATCACAGCAATCCACTAATTATACCTTGTATTTGAAAGTTCGGGAAACGCTTCCTCCAATCTCACTCTTACATCCATTGCAGACATGTTGTCTGAGAACAGGGCGTTTTTAAACTGTTCTGAACGTCTAAGACTGGATATTTGCATTAAATTTCCCGTGAATACCTCGCCGTTACGTCTCTCAACATTTTCGGGTTTCAAAAGATAAAGGTTTTTCCTCCGGTAAGTTTCTTGTTCTACCATATTTTCGAACTGAAGGAGGCTGTCCTTTGGAAACTGCGAGAAGGTAATGAATAAGGTAAATGGTTAATTTGTGTTCATTATTTAGTTTACTTTCTCTGTATTGGAAGAACAACAGATTAGAAGCAAAATGAATAACGTAATTGTGACCTTCCTGCTTCTATGACCTATTTTCCCGAAAGCGTTGTCTACTGGTGTATTTCCCGAATCTCTCAAAATCTGTAAAGTTATTCCGGGTTTTAAGGAAGATGATCTAACAATTTTAAGTACAGGCTAATATCAATTCTTCCAGCTTTTTCTAAACTTTTTGAGGAAGTCATGTTCTACTGACTGATTGAATTTTTAAACTTGCATAATATCTTATACTCGAAAAATTTGGATTCCGTAATAATAATTCAACTGTATCAGCTTCAATCGATTTAATTAGTAAAATTTCTTCAGCTATCGACAGAAATGAATCAACTTTAGGCATCTCCTTAGGTCTATCTAAGGCGTTTGATACCATTAAAGGAACAGTATCCCGTTACTGCACAAGTACCAAACTTTGATCAGTTTGATTTTTGGACAGGATTTCACGAAATCAAAAGATGAGAGGAGAGTAAGTTAAGAGAACCTTGGAAAATCCGTTTGCATCGCACTTGGCCGAGTTCGATACTACACTAAAACTTCTCAGGATTACAGATCAATGATATATTGTTCCCGTTGAGTTTCGATTTGGTGACTAAATCGGGATTTTTTGCCGTTACTTTTATTGTGGTTGGCCGGAGGACCAAAAGGTGGGAAGTGCTTTTATGGTGATTGAAGGCTTATTTCTTCTGCCAGCTTCCATACAAGCTCAAACTTTTAAATGAACCTTCCTACGGCCGACAAAATTAAACAAACAGACGCTACATGTTTAGAAATATCATAATATAGTTTTTGACTAACCTTTGCGATAATTCATCGCGTTGAGATTGCATATTTATATATATCTTTCAAACGTTTGAGGCTAGAACGCGAGCAAATCAGGCAAATATTGCTGGACTTGGTACAATTGACCTCTGACACGAGTTTCACATTAGAAAAGCTGTTTTAAAAGCGAGCGGAACGAGATTTTCGAGACGCGAAGCGGGCCTGCTAGCGACAAAATCGCGATGAGTCTTCGAGCCGCTAGACCAAAAACTTCGTCGAAAGTCTAAAATATTACTTGAGAATGTAAACAACAAATCTCCGTCGGCGGTGCGGTCCGGAAGGAAATCTTGTGGAGTCAATATGACAGTTCTATTGTCTTTTGAAGAAAAAACAGATGACGCTCGCACGTGCGCACAATCGGGACACTGTACCCGTTAATCATAAGAAAATAACTGCAACATGATGCAACACTATGGTATTGGGAACGCTGATTTGTCGTGGATCAAAAGCTATCTTGGGGATCCGACTCAATTTGTCCATGTTGGGTCCCATCGATTTTACTACGGAAATGTTTCATGAAGCGTCCCACAGGGCTCAATCCTTGGACCCCTTTTGTCCAATATTTACATCTTTCTTATGTCTCTGGCCTGACTCAATCTTTACTGTTTGCTGATGATACAAATATATTTTGTTTCCATAGGAATACTGACCACAATATAAATGAACGTGCAAATAAAGCGAATAAGTTATCTCTAAATTTGGCTAAAACGAACTAAATGATTTTTCATCCAAGGCTAAAGAAAATTGATGTTAATGTCCCTCTTGTTATGGAAAATATTGTGAACAAGCAAGTCGTGGAACTTAGATGTTATTATTGATCAGCACCTTTCCTGTGAATCTCATATTTAAGTTTTGTTTCTAAAAAGATCTCGAAATCTGGGGGGGGATTATTGCGAAAGCTCGCTTTTACCTATCATCCAAAACACTGCTGACCTTATATTACTCTCCAGAATATCCCAACCTAACACATTGTAATATTGCTTGGTCCTCCACCTACCGCTCCAACCAAAACTGTATTTACTTTTCCAAAAGCGCAAAGTGCGGCTCATAGCAAAAGCTCACTAGCTAGGAAATACCTCTCCATTATTAAGCCAACTTTAAGCCCTTGACATAAATAGCATTAAGATAGAATCCATGAGGAAATTGAGGTAATTTTAATTTTCAGCGGACAAAAACCTTGTACCAGAATAATTTAAAGAATATCACATTCGTTTTTACATTTTTCAAGGGCTAAAGATGTAATTAGTTATCTGTAATAACACCAAAGACTATTTCTCATGGGAGCTCGAGAAAATAACTGTCAAATTTCTCAAAACGACATCTTACACATGAAATTTTCAGAATTTTACCTGTGTTTTCACAATTCGTGTAAAATTTGACTTTTTTTCTCGGGCCCCCATGAGAAATAGTCTTTGTTGTTATTACAGCTAACTAATTATGTTTATACCTCTTGAAAAATGTATAAAAGAATGCGATGTTGTTTAAATTATTCTGGTACAAGGTTTTTGTCCAATGATCGAAAACTAAAACTACTCAATTTCCTAATGAATTCCGTCTTAATTCTTTTTCTTTTGGTACATTTATGAATTCGTATCACCATAATCCTCTGCCTCATAATTAGTAGCTTTCGTAACCTCTTTTTGAGTAGTAATCAGTTCCACCATTATGAAACTCGACTAGCCTCAATATAGACCTCATTTTTGTAGAACTAACATTAAGCAGCACAGTATCCTTTGTTTAGGAAAGACAATCTGGAATTTGTTCCCCATTTCACTAACCAGCTGTTCTTCCATATTTGTTTTTTTAAAAAAGCTGAAAAAGTATCTTATTGGTAGTCGTTCTGTCACTTAACTTTTATGTTTTCTGTACACTCTGCCCTCAAGTAAGTGATACGTAATCAACCGCCTTAAGGAAGCCAATTAATATAAACTCCCAGCTTCTTTAGCCTTCCTTGTCACATTAACTCACATTTTAAATTAACACCTTTTGTAAAGTTTTTAATGTTATGTTATGTTATGTGTGAGTGACTAAAAAAAAAACAAACAAACGAATAAATAAATAAAAAAGCAGTGAATTGCATGTGCGAGAGGAACTCCCAGTTGTCTTCTCCCAACATACCAGGTTTTGGTACCTCAGTTGACCTGGCAAAATATACCAACAGCGAGAAAAAAAAGTATTTATTTATTGAAATGTATAGAAAACCTCAAAAAGCCACATAATTTAACAGAACACAGAGGTTATAGAAAACGTCCGAGATGCATGTTGTTGAGGGGATAAGTCCGATGTTCTAGCCTGAGTGACTGTGCAGTAATTATTAGAAGGGGAGTGTTAAACAAGAGGGGGCACCATGTTAAATCGTAGCCTAAACGAGGTAGGGTAATACAGTATGTAAGTTTCTATATTACGAGTAGTTAGTAAAATGGGTATTGTGGGAAACTTTAGTACTACCTCTCAAACGGAATTAATCGGAAAAATGACGGAAAATGCTAATAATAAAATTCCAGAATATGCAAAAGAGTATAAAAGAGAATATCTTTACATAAAATGTCTAAATTACTATTTTTCACAGTTTTCCAAAAAACTAGAAGATTTAAATAATGGTTTATTTGAAACCAAATTAGCCAAAGAAATAAAGTATAATATGAAAAGATTTATCAATAAACAAAAAGAAAATAAATTTAAGAATATTTCTAATCTTATACTTCCTGATAACTTTCTCAATCATATAAATTTTATTAATGAACAGTTAGGTTATTACAAATTACGTTATGATGCTTTTTGTGATGATGATGAGGATTACAATGTTTATCTTAGTGATAGTAGTAGTGATGATGATGGTGTTGAATATAGTGATGAATATAAAGAATATCTTAGTAAGATTAATAGTCAAAAAGAGTATTTACTTGATGGAAAACCTTATCCTGGGTTTATAGAATTTTATGATATTTTTAAACAGATTTATAATCAAATAAAACAAGATGATGTTAGTGATGAATACGAAAGTGAATATTACGATAGTGATGATGATTTCTAAACTTATAACATTTATGTTACAAGTTTTAAAAATGATTTAAATATTAATATATTAAAATTAATAAAATGATTGATTATACACAAAAAATATTTACTATTCATTTTCCTGATAAAAAAGTTTATATAGAAAATACTTGTAAGCCACTTAAGGATAAAATGGATACTATTAAGAATGATAAAGATCATTTATTATACTCACTACTCAAAGAATATCCAAATCCAGAAATTAGATTTGAGTGTTCTCAAGAAGGAAGATGCTATAAAACTAAACAAGAATTAGCTTATAAATATAGAAATAATAATTTTGAAATATTAAATGTTAATCTTATTTCCCCATCTAGATTTAATTTATTCCAATCATTATATAAATGGATGGGTTATTAAAAGAATTAGGATTAATATAACCAACTAATAAAAATGGGATCAAGATCAAGAGAAACTACTCCAGCAAAAGAGGATTTGGATTTTATAGTTGATGATGGTTACAAACATGATGAGGATCCAGATTATGTTCCAAATGAAAAATTTGTTCTTAAAGGACCAGAATTCAAAAGATTAACTAGAAGTGCTAAAAAGCTTGGTGCTGAATCACTTGATTATTCAACCCGAAAAAATAATAAGTATATGGCTACACTTCCAAGTGGAAGGAAAGTTCACTTTGGATCGCCAAAATATCCAGACTATACTATTCACAAAGATAAAGAGCGAAGAGATAAATATCTATCTCGTGCGACAAAGATAAAAAACAAACAGGGAGAATTAACCCATAATAATCCAGAATCGAGTAATTTCTGGTCAACAAGACTTCTTTGGGGTGGAGGTAGTCAAAAAAAATAAAATTGATTTAAAAATAATAAAATAATATAATAAAATGAGTTCTTCAAATAGTGATTTTGATTTTGGAAATAAACCAATCAGGGGTATTAGGGATCCTAAATATATAGGAAGTTATAAGTTTGTTAATATTAATTGTGATCAAATTATTAATACGGGTGGTGAAGAATTCGACATTATAAAAGAGCAAGAAGAGCAAGAAGAGGATGAATTAAAAAAACTTTTAAAAGAAATTTCAGAAAGATTAAATAAACTAGAAGAAGTAATTACAAATAAATAAAATTGATTTTTTAAATAAAGTTTAAAGATTAAATAATTATAATTAAAAATGCAGTTGTCAAGTTACGAAAATGTTACCCAAGAGAATATCTTATTTAAAGAAGCCAAAGAGTACAAAGTCAAAGATAGCAAGATTAAATATAAACGAATTCCAATTGAAGTCAAATATCCAAATGGAAAGAAAGGAGCACTAGTATTAGAATCTCCAGTTCTTTTCAGTTTTGGTGTTAGTGAAAAGAAAAATCAAGAAACAAACAAGTTAGTAGGTTATAGTATTCCAGTATGTCTTTGGGCTCGCGATAGTGAGCCAAATAATAAAGAAAAAGCATTTTTTGATGTTATTAATAATGTAGTAACTCTATCTCAGCAACATTTAGAGAATGAATATGGATCAGATTTAGCGTCAAGTTTGTCTTCACCATTTTACTACAAACAAATAGAATATACAGACAAGAAAGGAAAAAAGAGAACAAAAGTTGATGAATCATCAGCACCAGTTCTTTACGCAAAACTTATTTATTCAGAAAAATCAAAGAAAATATTATCTTTGTTTAAGGGAAAGGGATGTCGCGGTTTAAATCCTTTTAAATATATCAATCAGTACTGTAATGTTAAATTAGCATTAATAATTGAAGGAATATTTATAAGTAAAACTGTTACATCTTTACAAATAAAAGTACATGAGTGTTATGTCAAACCATTAAAACCAAGAGAGGCTTTACTAACAATTGAAGAGGAAGATAGTGATAGTATTAGTGATAGTGATAGTGAAGAGATAACTGATCAAGTAGTTGATGACTTACTTTTATCTGATGAAGAAGAAACTAAGTAAATAACTATTTTTAATACAAATTTTGTATTAAAAATCAACCAAATCCTTTGAGCTAACCCATGAATTAAATTTATCAGGATATCCACTCCATTTTACTAATGCCATTTTTTTCTTATTATCTCGTCTGATAATTTTTTCTATTCTAAATGTTTGTTGTTTTGCTTTTTGTAATTCTTGCTCGTAAAAAGAACCCTTAATCTCTTCTCCCATCAAATCCACAATGTTATATGTAATAGGTTTTGTCGGTAAAACTTTATCAATTACAAATATTTCCTCTGTCCAGTTTGGTGTGTAGCCTTTATCGAATACCTTTCTTTTATACTTAGAAATTCTAACATGATCACCAACCACAAATTTTGATTTACCAGGTTTTAAGTATATCAAATCACCGTACAAATTAGACCAAACTATTTTTTCATTCTTCTTTTTACTTGCTTCAACAGGAGTCATTTTTATACTAGAATGTCTCGAATTATTGTAATCATTAACTAGTTTATCTATCTTATCCCAGTAAACAGTGTTGTTATTTGTAGTAAACATTTTCCACATTCTGTTTTTCATTGTTTTATTCCATCTCTCAACAACACTAGATTTTTCTTCGTTTTCAGTGTGATACAACCTAATTCCTTTACTTTTAAGAAAATCTTTAAAATGTTTACTTATAAACTCAGAACCTTTATCAGTCCATAACATTTGAGGTTTACGTTTACTTTTGAATATGTCCTCAAATGCTTTACTAACAGTTTCAGTTTTTTTATCTTTTCATCCCCTAATCCAACCATACTTGCTAAACACACCAATAACCATCAGAAGATATTTAATCCCTTTATTCCATTTACTAAACTTTTGCATTTCAACTAAATCAGCAGCCCAGATTTCATCAATCCCATTTGAGATTACTAATCTCTTTTGAAAGTTTCGTGTGATTGGTTTGTGAAGTTCGTCGGCTAATTGTTGAGACCAATCACTACTCAACGCCGCTTTACGTTTTTTGCCCCCATCCCAATTTTTTGTTTTGTGTTTATTATAGTTCTGGCCAACCAATGTCCCCATTGTCTATCTTTCCAAGGAATAGCATCCAACGATTTTACCATTTTTTTATCAGCTTTATTTTTACACTTTCGGTCATCACCACAAACACTATAATCAACATCATGCTGCATAGCCACAGCATCAGTTGGCCCAGTTGGTTGATCATAAATTTCTAATATTTCACCAGTTTCCGGATCATATCTTACTTGGTTTTCAAGATCATTATAGGGACCGGTATATTTATGTCCTGGTAAGGTCCACCCACCTTTTGGTTTTGGTAATTTACCAATCTGTTTATGGATATCTACAGCACCACCTCTATAGTGACGAATGTTGTCAGTCACACCTTTTAAACCTTGGCTACCAAGTTTCATAAAAGCTGCTGGCCAACTTGCAGTTGGATTTACAAACATTGCTGCTCCTTCTGCTATTTTATCTGTTAATGTGGGTCTTCTTCTGGCTAGAGCACCTCCATATTTTTTTTTAATCTCTGCTAAAGATTTGTATATTTTGTTGGTTCCTAATCCTCCACTATGAAAAAAATCTCTTACATGAGCATACCCAATTTGTTTTCCATTTTTCTTAACAATCATTATGGGTTCACCTTCTTTAAAATAAAATTTTTTACCATCATAACGAAACACAGTTGTATCTCCTGTCCAGAAATTGGAAGTAAATATTCCATCTTCTGAATTAACAACACCTTTAGCAATATCACCAGACCAATAATCCTTAAATACTTGCTTTGTTTGAGGAAACAAGGTTTCTGAAATTGTTTGACCCACATTTATTCCTGTTTTGATTGGGCCAACAGCATCACCAACACCTTTGCCCGCCATCACTGACGGGCTAATTAGTTTTTTGACTTCTTTTTAGTTTTTCTCTTTTTACCACTTCCAGTTTGAGAAGCTGATCCAGTTTTCACATATCTAACTTTTTTATTTCCACAAACTGCGCATCTACAAAAGAATTGAGTTCTACCTCTTTTATCAGTTTGGTAACCACTTGGCTCTGTACAAGGTGTTACTCTTTTATCTACAATACAATATGATTCTTTCATTTAATATAATGTTTAGATAAAAGTATGTCTACTAGATCTAATTTTGTTAAAAGTGAACTTCAAAAGATATACAATAACCTTAATACAAGTTATGAAAATGCTTCACATTTTAGAATGGAAAATGATACTAGATTTATTAAAAATATTTGAGTTGATAATGGAAATAAGTGAGAAATCAAATACTCTAACTAATGTTATAAAAGGTAATTATCTATTTATATAGTAAATGGAAGCTAAATTCTTTTCTGAGATAGAGAAAAAGATGGATGTTAAAACAGTAAAAGATTTTGAAAAGGAAGTGCGAAAAAAAATATATAATCAAATGGAAACACTTAGAAAGAAAAATTATAATCTTTCTAGAGTGTTAATGGCTGGTGAATGTGAAATGTGGAGAAAAATCAGAAATGAGGAATATTCTTGGTTACAGTTAAAAGAAGATGAAAAGAAGAAACTTTATCGACTTATTGACATTTACTTAAATTTTTTAGATATAGTTGATAGTGTTCGCGATCTAAATATGAAAGTTGAGAAGGTTAAAAAGCTTAAGGACTCACCAGTGGATAATGAACAAAAAAATGATTTAAAGATTTATATAAATCTAAATAAATGCATGTTAAATCTGAGGAGAAAGATACGTATGAAAAATTTTATGATTTGTTAAAAGAATATTTTCATAAAGGAAACGAAGATGAAGAAATTGAAGAAGTTATAATTGTCACTAATAGTGATGTTTATCTATTAAGATTTAAAGATAAAGATGAGAATTAAAAATATAATATTTAATAAATATTATATTTATCCTCCAAAATATGCTTTTATAAAATCACTGTTGTCATCATCAAAATGTGGGTTATGTATTACGTTTAGAATACTATTACCACGTTGTCTCTCAATCAGATAATATAAACACCAATATCCACAGAGAACAGTATTGCGATTTTGTATTTCATCCATTGAGTAAACTATTCGTTTTCCAGAAGTGTTAAAATACACCAGTGCTTCATTTGGCATTATCAATCCAAATGGATCAAAGTACTCAACAACCTTACCAATATTTCTGTAACAAACCCAATGTGTTCCAGGGCCAGTCAAATCATCTAGATTAATTATTCCACATTCTTTTCTAATCTTTTTTGGTAGTCTATCCCTACTATATATGTCTCTAAAATGTTTAATACCAAGTCTTTTTATCCAATCCATAAGGTCAAAGTTTGAAAGTGGTTTAATTACAAAATGGAGCCGAGGATGGGTATTGAGTTGAATGGGCTGTTTTTTCCTAGAAGTAGACCCGCCCCTGCGGGCCGTCCTTTTCCCTTGGATTTGGGCTTTTTTTTTTAACCCCCATTCCTATTGGGTTTTCCCAAGTACCAAAAAAGGGGGGAGATTGATAAGGATAACCTTCGCCATAAGTTGATGGAGGAGGAGGATGTGGAACGTAAACATTTGCTGTATTAGATGACCCACGTCTATCAACCTGCAGACCCGCCCCTGCGGGCAGTCCAGAACCAAGCATCTTAGATACCAAACTGATTGCCATTGGTATCCCAATAGAAGCAAGAGTACCTAAAAATCCTCCTTCTACCTGTTTACGAGTTGGTTTTATAACTACTCTTCCTCCTGATTTAAACATTTTATTTATTAGATCTATTTGTGATTTTGTTAATTCTCCTCTAATAGCGGGTAACATTGGAAAAAACTTTTTTGGAATTGTAATTCCTTTTCCAAATATTTTATTTAATCCTATTTCTCCAAGTGCAGTTGCAGCACCAGTTGCTAAAGCAGGAGCTACTTTTGAAATTCCTTTTATTGCGTAAGGTAGTACTCGCGCTCCAATAGAAGCAAGTGATGAAAATAAGTTTCCACCGTATTTTACAGATTTTCTAATCTGAGTTTTACTTATCTTTACATCTGATCCTGTACCATTTGCAATAGATTTTTTTATTTTAGAAATTTGTCTTTGGGTTAACATGAACTCATCATTTCCTCTTAGATGTGAATGTTTTAAACGAAGAGTTAGTGGTGATTTATTTTTAATTGCAGAAGCCAGTTTTGATTTCTGACCATCTGTAAGTTTTACTCCATATTCAATATAAGTTGTCATTTTTATTTAATTGGTTATATTATTTTTAGATTAAGCACGAAGCAATAGTTTTCCATTTTGTTGTGATATCTCTGCTTCCGCTTCGTGAAGTACTAAAGCGTAAACATTGTAGTTTGCTGCAGTTGTTCCAGATAGTTCGTAATGAAATGCTAGTTTTGTCACCCCATCTTTTATGTCTAGTTTTTGTTTGGTTAAGTCAAAGTATACAAACGGAAAGAGATTTTCAAAATTAGTTCTATTTAGAAGAGTACCTCCTTGAAAATCATTGTTTGCATAAACATAACCCATTACATCTCTAAAAACTCTTGAAGGATCTGATGAAGGTTTGTAGTGAATATCAGGATATTCATTTCCATTTCCTACCTCAAGATAACACCTGTCAAGAGTTCTTGGATCTGTAGAAACACTAAAGGTATTATACAAAAAAGGATTTGCTGTTTGTGTATCTATGTTTGGTGTATTAATTATAAAAACAAATACGTGTCGTGGTTTTGATATTCCATTTGTAATTCTAAAATTACCAGTTCTAGTACTTCCAGCAATATTTCTTTCAACAACCTCTTTTAAATAAGTCCATTTTTGTGGTTTGAGATAATCACTCATATAAATTTTATTTCCTTCCGAATTAAATACTAATCTAGGCACAAAAAGTTGAAGACGAGTAATGACTACTCGACATTGATTTCCTCCATCCCTCCATACAAGATTATCATCTTTATCAATTTCAAAATTTATTTCTATTTTAGTATTAGGAAGAAGTTTATTTTCAAGCGATTCAAAAAATGAATATCTATTCAGAGGAATTTCACAGTGTACTATAGATGATGTTCCAAGCAAAGCTTTTCGCGTTGAAAATCCTTCGTTAAAAGTATTAGAAGCATTATCTAACATAAGACCTGCAACATCAGCATTACCAGCAGTATTTCGTCTATGAGTAACTTCTTTTCTAATAAATCTATGTTTATTAGCAGATTTTGATGTATCAAGATAATAAAATTCATTTGTTGCCACTGAGTTGGCGTAAGATTTATTGTATTCAAGTAAATTTTTTATGTTTACACTATGATTAGCATAATTACATTGGTATAGTTCTTTTCCATTTGCTAATACTGATATTCTCGAAATAAAACTATTTGCTCCATTTACTATTCCCATTTGATCGTTAGCGTAAGTATTATAAGCAGCTCTATTAGCTGCTAAAATTTCATCCGCAACTACATTAGCTGGAATGGCAAAATTAGTTCCATCACGTTGCTGAACTTTAAAATCTAATGCTATTCTAGCGTTATACCAATCAAATGGTGTTACTTCACCTGAATTGTCAGCAATAAATTTAAGATTACTTCTCTCTTGGTTACTATTGTTTGCTGGAGCTGTATTAATACCTTGTTCCAGATCAAAAACAACATCTTCATATCTTTCTAAATATTTTGGATTTCTAAATGACTTCATTTTATTTTAATAATTATATAATTTTTCCACCGCTAAGAATAGAATTCACTTTTGCATTTATTTGTTGTTGAGTTAATTTTTTGTTTGGAATTATTGTAGTATTTTTATTAAAATTAACTACTTTTTTAGCAGGGGGTTTTCGGGAGGAACCTTTTGATAACATTTCCACTATCTTATCACCAGCCTTCTTACCAGCATGTTCACCAGTTTTTGTTGCAGCTGCTGTTACTGCTTTTTCTACTCCTTTTTTAGCAGCTTTTTTCATTGTCTTTCCAAATAATTTTGAACCAACAGATTTAAAAACATCTGTTATTCCTTCTCCATATATGGAGCGCTCGCTGCTCCAAATGTGTTGTCTTGTATATTTACCCATTTTAGGGTCAAATCTTTTTTTAAACTCTGATTGCCTACTCATTTTTATATAATGAATATATATTTTAGTTGAGGGAGGGGGTCATTACATAGATTGAAGTATTAAAGTCATAAACCAATCTATACCATTAAAATCTACTGGTCTTCCAAGTGAGTCTGTAACATAGATTCTCATTTCATCAATGTGAAATGATGATAAAGGGCAATACAATGGTCTTTTAGGTTCAAACGTAAATGGAAAAGACCTTGTAAGATTATCAGTTGGTATCACAGCAATAGTATTTGTATTTATTCCATTTACAATGCTATCAGGTATTGCGGTTGTGTTGATATTTAATACATCGATTGAATTTGTTATATTTGGTAGTTTTGATCCATACTCTGTTTTTGTAATAAGTTTCTTTTCAAATCCAATCAGGTCTCCAAATTCTGTTCCTCTCAGATCAAGTTGATAATCACCTTCAAGTGATATGAGAACTCGATAGGTAGATAGTATAAAAGTTAGATTGATTGAATAAGTTTTCTTTCCACTTGAATCTGTTGAGTGATGAGACTTTTGCTCCATATACTGATGAATATAATCATTAATATCAGAGTGGGAATACATTCCATCTGTAAAAGTAATTGTTTGCCAGTTGGTTCCATCGTGAGTGTATTTGATTTTATTGTTTTTATAATCACTTCTAATGTTGTACCAAGAATAAGTCATGGACAGCCGATCAAGAGCAAGTTGATGTTTCTTTTCAGGGTCAAGTTTCAAAGATGGATTAAACTTAATAGTAAAATCACCAGGTTTGCTTGTTCCTCTTTTTTCCCTATTTATTGAGGAAATGTGAATAGCTCGTTCTTCCATTTTATCTAATGATTAAATAATTTTTTAGTAGATCGTTAAGTTGTTTTTTTGTAATTACCTTCATTTGGTTGAGAAGATGTGCAATTTGAGAAAACTCAGGTATCACACCATTATTCCCAGCAAGAATTGAACCACCAAGTAATTCAAGTCTTTTTAGAAGTTGATGTTGGTTGTTAAAGTAAATCATTCCTTGCCCCATTTTATACTCAAGCGAATCTAAATAAAGTTTAAGAATGTTTTTGTATTTATGTAGTAAATCTTTTTGCATTTTAATCCTTTCTATTTCTTCTTCGTCTTCTTCTGTTTTATATTTTTTTCTATTCAATCCAGCTATTTCTCCTGTAAAAACTTTTACATCATTTTTTACTTCATCACGTATTTCTTCTAGTCTGTCAATGTCAGTACCAAAAAAATCATTTGGTCTTGGATAATCCATTATTCTTAATAAATCTAAGTCAACTTTATCAAAATTTTTTTCAATGTTATAACGCGTAGGTGATCTTGGTCTAGATGTTGATGGTTCATCATAATCACCTTCCAAAGCTGGTAATTCTCTCATTTCAGCCAATCTTAAATTAGTTTCATTAATTTTTTCCAATCCTGATGTTAATGCAAGTTGATTTTTTTTAAGTTGTGCTATAGTTGCGTTTTGCTGCTCATCAATACTTTTTTTAATACTATCTTGAGATTTAATAAGTGGTTTAAATGTCTCTTTAAAACCTTCCCGCATATCTTGTTTTTGCCATTTTGTTATTTTTATTACATCTCTCACCTGTTGAGTTAAAGTGTCAGCTTCAATTTTATTTCTTACAAATTTTTTGGCTTCTTCAATATCCATTTTATTTAATCAATAGATAAAATGGAAATACCAAACTATGATAGTGTTGATGAACCAAATAAAAAATATAAACAGTTATTTCCTTACATGCCATCAGACACATTTCGAATGTTAATCTGTGGAAACAGTGGAAGTGGTAAAACTAATCTTTCGTATCATATGTTAATCAAACCACTCTTATACTATGATGAGATTTATCTTTATGCGCGTAATCTAGAACAGGATAAGTATCAAAAGCTAATTCAAAAAATGACAGAGTTGAGTATAAAATTGGGGTATGAAATACTTCATGTAAGTAATGATGAAATAACTCCAGTGACAGAAATGGAATATGAAGACAATCAAAAACTTGTGATATTTGATGATTACGTCTGTGATAAAAACCAGAGACAACTTATTGATTATTTCATCCAAGGACGACATAAGAATTGCTCTGTAATATACTTAAGTCAATCATTTTACAAAACTCCAAAGGATATTCGATTGAATTGTTCTCACTACTGTCTGTACGAATTTCCATCATCGAGGGAAGCAAACAGAATATCATCCGAATTAGGAGTTGATAAAGAGACATATAAAGCAGCAACAAAAAAACCCTTTACATTTCTATACGTCGATAAACCTAGAAAACGTATTGCAAAAAACTTTACTAGTACCCTCCCTTAAAAGAAATATAATCATTAGATAAAATGGGAATATTTAACGAACAATCTTTTGATCATCCTTTTGCTAAAGGAATACAGGGTGCTCCAGGAGCTGGATTTAGTCTAACCACAGATGGAAATTATGATATGAATAAAAAAAGACTCACAAATGTTGGAGCACCCAGTGCTAATACTGATGCTGCTACAAAAAAGTATGTTGATGATAATTCTGGTGGATCACCCACAACAACACGATTAACAGTTGATTCAAACATTGATATAAAGGATAGATATCGTATTTTAAACCTTAAACATCCAGTTGACTCAGATGAGCCAGCCACAAAACAATACTCAGACAGCAGATTTCTTGACAGAAATGGTTCACGAACAATGATTGGTAATCTAAGCATGAATAATAATCAAATAATTAAAGTTGGCACACCAACAGCTAATGATGACGCAGCAAACAAAAAGTATGTAGATGATAAATCAAGCGGATCACATACAACAACACGATTGACAGTTGATTCAAACATTGATATGAAGAATACATACCGAATTACAAATCTTAGCACACCACTGGATGGAAAAGAACCTCCTACAAAAGATTATGTAGACAACACATTTCTTGACAGAGATGGTTCCTACCCAATGAAAGGTAATCTGAACATGGATAATAATCGAATAATTAATCTACCAGCTCCAAATGGTAATAATCAACCAACACCATTAGCTTTTACAGATTTGAAGTATGTTGCCCGTGATGGTTCATCTACAATGACTAATAATCTAAACATGGATAATAAAAAAATAATTAACCTTAGACCACCAACATCAGACACTGATGCAACAACCAAAAAGTATGTGGATGACTCAATACCTGATACTAGTTCTTTTATAAAAAAAGATGGAAGTGTATCAATGACTAATAACCTAAATCTTGGAAACAAAAAAATAGTTGGTCTTGCAACTCCAACATCAAACACAGACGCCGCAAACAAAAAGTATGTGGATGATAACACAGGTGCTCCAGATTTAAGTGATTATTTAGAAAAAGATGGTACAGTCGCTATGACTGGGAACCTTAATGTTGGTAATAATAAAATAATAAATCTTAGTAAGCCAACCCAAGACAAAGAAGCAGCAAACAAAGATTATGTCGACAAACTAGTTCATCACACTGCAGTTCAACCAAGTCATTACAATGACCAGTTTGCTTATCTTATGACTAGTGGGTCTCAATGGACTGATGAAATAGATACTGGAACTAGTTTTAGTGTAGATAAGATAGATGACTTACCACCAAACAAAGGAAACTTTCACGATTATAATCACAAAGTTATTTACATGTCTATATACCAGAATTCCGAGAGTAATTACAAGTATAAAATGGGAATTAATTTTTACAGATTAGTTCGAAATACTGATTACACGTTGTGCCTGGAAATACTCAACACGACTCCAACCATTTGGCATAATTCTCAAATAAGTGTTGACAAAGGAACTTCAAGTGGATTAACAATAGGAAATGTAATTATAAGTAAGCTCTCACATAAGTATACCAATTCAAAGGGTAAAACAGATACTATTTACTACCATAGAATAATAGTTAATTTTCGGAAGTTGGCAAAAGGATTTAGATTCTTTCTTCACATTCTTGTTGATATACCACTGGATGGAATTTACAAAAGGTTATTTCCACGTAAATTTTCAGATGTTTACATGATTGCTTATGGAATTGTTGGCACATTTAGCAATATTGATCCAGATAAAGTTTATGACTATCACACAGCATTTGATATCAAACCAACAGAAGTGGTGTATAATGTTGATATAAATGCAAATCAAAAAGAAATTAAAAATATCAAACTTGACCGACAAAATGATAATAGTGCTGCAACAGTTGCATTAGTAAAAGAAGTAGCTCCTTTTACTAAAAATGCTTTGTACAGATTATACTTTAGTGAGGTCTATGACTTTGCTAATGCGGATAGTTATGGAATAAATATAGGTTCATCTGGGGTTATTATAAATTCTTTAAGGCCTAATATTACACTACCAGCTAATAAAGACCTAGATGAAATAGAAAAAGATGGCTTACGTGTTAATGGTTACGATATTACTTTTTCTCCTACACATTCTTCAAAATCTACTTTATGTATTGTTTTTACTCATTGGAGAAATAGGAGTTTTACCCTAACTAAATATTATCAACAAACAATAATATTTTAGTAAAATTAGATTATAACAAAACAAACAATAAAGTAACTTTAACTGTCAATACAGCAACTCAAAATTTTACCATGCTAAGTGAATTTAGTGGAAAAATAATTGTTGTATGGCTAACAGAAAATTTTGATACAAATGTAACAAAAGTTAAAATAAGTAACTATAGTGGAACATTAACTATACCAGCTGTTTACTACAATGTTAATCAACGTTGGAAGTTTACAACTGAAGATGGAGTGTTATATAGATTAATGTATTCTCCAAACTTTTACGACACCGACTCTGAACAATATCATAAAGTAGTGCTTCAAGAAAAGTTAAATGGAAGTTATATAGTATAAATATAAATGAAGGATATCTTTGAATTTAATCACATAGACCCATCTCTGTCAAAATCAGATGTCAAAACCCTAAAAGACTTTTATAGTTATTACCATAAGAAATTCTGGTGTTTTAAGAAATGTTTTAAAAGTTATAAATTTTTAGATAATTTTTTTACAATCTCTGGTATATGTTTGGTTGCAATAGGTACTATTAGTGGTGGAATAACTCTGAATCCTGTTATTCTTGGTGTTATAAATGGAGCGGGAGTTATTATTGCTGGAGTAGGAAAGAAAAATAATTACAAAAGAAAAATTGAGATGTCAAGGATAGCATTTACAACGTATGAAAAAGTTCTAATTGAATTGAGATCTGCACTAAGAGGTGATGAGTGGAATAAACAAGAGTTTGTTGATAGGATGAAATTGTTAGATGAAATGATTATTGATCAGACTCCAATAGCAGATAGATTTGAGAGTAGGTACGAAAAGAAGTTTAATAAAAAATAATAAGAAATTTCTAAAATAATTATTTTAGAAATTATATATTTTTTTCTATTCGATGAAATATTTTGAGATGAGTATTTAATGTATTTTGACTACAAAATGCTTTTGAGCAATATTCGCAGGGTATTCTCACACCTTCCATATACTGGTGTATTTTCCTAGAAATTTTATCATAATCATTAGATAAAATAAATAAATTATTATTTTTTTTATATTTATCTTTCATCTTTATTTGAGATTCTGATACTTCAAAATTATTTGTTGGTGTTTTAAATTCTATACACATTCCAGAATAATCATGATGATAATTTAAGATCATCAAATCTGGTTGCCCTCGCTGATACCCTTTTTTCCAAGAGTCTAATCGCTTTTCCTCCGTATCCTGATTCTCACCCAGTCCAGCAACTAGAATTGCATTTGGGTAATAATTTTTGATTAGATTCACGACTTTGTAATGCAACTCTTTTTCATTAGAAATCATAATCATTTTATTATAGGGGGAATCAAACATTTTACATTGACCGTATTTACGAATTGAAGGTAATACTTCAGAAGTAGTCCATCTTTTAAACTTTTTAGCTGATTCCGGTTTAGAGGATAAAACTAAAGAGTAGAATCCACTTTCGTTTATATATGTAAAATACTTACCTCTTACATCAGAATTGTTGGCGTGCCCATTTTGGGTACGGCAACAAATTTGCTTTTTATCCTCATTATCAACATGATTACAAATAGCTTTTCTAGTATTACTATATCCGAGAATCTCAGCAACATCTTTTCCCTTAAACCAAACATTTTGCTGTTTGTCGATAAATGATTTTATCTCAATTCCTAAATCGTTATTTTTGTAAGATTTCTCTATCATTGCAATTTTATTCTTTAATTATATTCTTTAAATAAATTAATTTTATTTAAGGGAATCTAAAACTGATGGATGAAGTTTGTATAATACTTCACAAATATGTTCTGAATTTAACAACGATCTAGGATTAATTTCTATACGCATTTTAATTCTTTACTATTAAATTTTAAATCTCAATTTAACATATTTATTTAATAAATGATAAACACTATAGTTCATTATGTTAACTTCTATTATCCCACACTCAGAAATCTTAATTACTCAGAAAATCTAATTAAGACAGCGCTAATATACAGGTTTCTTTACGAAACTACTTTTAAGAAACATATTACTCTTGAAACAATAATATACAAATTAGAAAATAGATCTATTAAATCGGATAATAGTATTCTTAATAATCATCTTATGTTCTACAGAGCATTTAAATCTTTTTATAAACATTACAAACTTGGGAGAGGATGTGTATATGTATTTGATTCTCCAATACGTAGTGAAGTACTTGGCTATCTAACAGGGATTATCTACTGGATATTTCATAAAGGTTTTGATTAATCTAAACATAGTATAAAATGAATGCTACAGTTACAAGATCTGATGTTGAAAAACTTGGACGTGAAGTGATTGAAGAAGTAGATAATTTTTTACATGATGAATGGGTAATTAATACTTTCCCAAAAATGAAATTAGAACAGCAAAATTTTGATAAATATATTATTAGAGATAAAAAGTTAGATATAGTAGAAATGCATGAAATTCTTAGAGATATATTTTTAGATATGGAAATAAATGAAGATTTATATTACAAAAAGAGATCATACGAGAATTTTTTTAGATAAACATTTTCTAGATTCAAAGATTAAATTTTATATTAAATATTTAATATAAAATTATTCTAATCCTAATAATATTTTAGATGCGTCTCTTTTTAACTTTAAGTACTCAATCTTTAAATCTCGCAGGTAGTCTTCTTTAGACTTATAGTTATCTGGTGGTATTTTATTACTTTCAAAAATATATCCTAATAAAAATTCTTCCCCCTCTGTAATATTATCAAATATTTTTTTTGCTTCTATTTCTGGTGAATCAACTTTATTACTCATTTTATATTTATATTATTTCTTTAATTCTTTATAACTTTCCCACCACTTTTCATATATCTCTAAAGTTTGAGGACTAATCTTAAATACAACAAGTTTATACTTTTCACATCCCATCTCCTCCAATAATTTTTTGATTAAATAATTAATATTAATTAATCTCTTTCTAAAGTATTGCTTGTTTAGTATTTTCATAGTATGATTATCTATATTTATTAATCTGCTGTAAAGTTCATATTTTTCTTCATCATTGAGACCCACCCTTTTAGAAATCTGATTAACTTTTTTCTCATAGTGGTATTTTCTATGGTAAATACTCTTTTTTCTATAATGCAGTCTATCTAAATCTTTTAGATCAAATTGACCTAGTACATGTCCATTTGATGTTCCACATTCATCACAGATTTTGAGACCATAATCTATTGAAAATGATGAAGTGTTTGGACAATTTTTACACTTAGATTTTGGAGAAAATTGCTGCATTCGGTTGTTATAGTTATGTAATATATTTAGATATTTATTTATTTCTTCCTCTGAATAAGTCATTTATTATTTATACTTTATTTATTTTTAAATAATTTTTATCTAAGAGCTAAAGTGTGCACTCCATCCTTTAAGACCTTTCTTTTATCATCTTCATTACTCAGAGCTATTTTATTTACTTCCTTTGAATATATATCATGCTTTTCACTTCTTATAATTTTCATTGTTCTCATTTGTTTTTCACCCGAAAATAAACATTTAACATAATCATCAAAATCTATTTTCTTTTTTACTACATTTTTCTTTATTCCTTTACACTTTTTTAAATCTTTTTCATCCTCAACTCTAAAGCTATATAGTTTAGGTCTCAATCCAACAAAATGTGTTATTTGTTTTCCTGCTACTTCATCTTTAAACATACCAATTACTTTTTTATTTAATCCTGTTTGTATACCAGATTTATGATTTGGTGGATAATCACTTGTATCAAATTTATCTTGAACATCAGAATTTATATCTTTATAAAAATCATCTGTGTAAATCTGAAACATTAGGCTATCAGTATCAGTAAACAATAACTCAGCTTTATTTCCATATTTCTCTTTAATGTAGTTATAATGAAAATTGAACATTAATGTTTTTGACAAATCTAAAATTGCTTGACCAACATATACTGGTTTATAAAAATATATTTCAGTATTTATCATATGGATTGCAATAAGATTTCGATCAAATATTGTACATCTATCAAAGTTTGGACGACTTGATAGTTTGACAGCTTTCTTACGATTATCAATAAGATGTATATTTTGCCTTTTCCTTATATTTTCTATTGTTTTACCAAAAACTGAGTTATTCATTAGTTTGAAAAAGTCTTTCTCAAAATTGTTGGCTGCTGTCTTTCGAAGTTCTGTATTTTTTCGGATATATGGCTCCATCCAAGAACTTTGATAAAATGATATTCCTCTGTGAACAGCTGTAATCCTCATTCCCATCTCAAGATATTGTCTAAGATTTCGATAATGAACAACATAGTTTTTTCTTGGTTTGAAATGACAAATTAACTTTTCAACACCGTTTACAATCATCTTCTCAGGCGCTAAAGGATAGTCATTATGTTTTTCCCATAGGTGTTGAGGATACTCCAAATCAACTTCAAATATATATCCTTTCCTCCCAAGATTTGACATACTATGATTTGCTTTCTCTAGAATTTCATCTACCTTTTCCACTGTTATATTTTTCATCCATTTAAATCCATGTGTTGGGAGTTGTTGAGTCATTGCCCAACCGTAAAGGTTATTTGCCTCAAGATATTGAATATAACTAGACTCCTCATTAGGATTATAATTTTTCATGTATTTGTTATTCGCTTCTGCATATCTTTTTGATATATGTGTTATACCACCACGAATACCTTGCTCAAACATCATTAACATATCATAATCATGTAGTAACTGTAATTTCTGACCTGTTTCTTTAAGACATGCGTCCCAAGCTAAACCAGGAGATGTGTAATAATGAACTGGATCTAGTTTGTAATGTTTGAGGCAAGTTTTTCTAAAGTTTTCAAATACATCTGCTAGAAGTAATACATCAGACTTTAGGTAAAGATTGTGATAATCTCTTATTGTTTTACATCCAAATGTATTCCATACGCGGATAGCGTGTTGGTAATCATCATCAGTTATGTCTTCATCATTTAGTTTAGAATAGAATTCCTCTTGGGGGGGTAATTGTTTTTCTGATAATTTATCAAATGATGAAACATAGTCATATGGATATACACCTTTACGTGTAAGAAGTGATGTATTAGATTTAAATGCATGTTTTGTATTAATAAAATCACAAGGTTGTAAATTTGAAACAAGATTAGCAAGTGATGTTTGAAGAAACTTAAAAGAATCTAAAAATCTTATTTCAAAATTTACATCAAAAGTTAACCCACTAAAATCTTTATATTCCCCAACTTTAATAGTTTTAGAAAATGAAATATATTTTTCTTCTGTAGATGGAATACAATCTAACTTCCTTCTAATCTAGCAAGTTGTTTAATAAATAGATGAGCATCATAACCCTGAAGATTGTGAAATATAACTGGTAATACTTTTGGTTTTTTACACATAAGATTACATTTGTTATGAGCTGCACCGCGATACTGTCCTGTGAAATGGCAATGATCTCGTACTTTATCCTTTTTTAATTCACCACTACAGATATGACAAGTTTTAGCTTCTTCAAATGATTTTTGTTCTGCACTAGTTAGTCTGAGAGGTTTTGGTCTTAAATAAAAGTCATTATAAATTCCTTTTGTTACTTCTGAAAGTTTTTCTACAAATACTTTTGAAATGTCTTCATCCTCTGATTTTTTTGTATAAATAATTGGTGTAATTTTTTTATTAACTATTCCCTTAACATAAAAACAAAATCCTGATGGTTCATGCTTTTGATAGTTGTAATTATAAGATTCTTTTGGATTAGGACTGCAACTATTCATTGGTTTAGTAAAGCATTCAAAATCTGCATAAACTACAAAAGGAACAGGAAGTTGTTTGTGATAATTCTTGAAATGTAAATAAGTATTTGGTTCAGGCATTTTTACAAGTGTTGTTTTATTATTAGAACAATATTTAATATGTTTATCTAGTAATTCTTCTTTGGTGAAATGACTAAAACATCTCTTACAAATAAATATTGCGCCATTCTTACTTGAAGTTTTTTGTGATCTTATCAATCTATTAAAATTTTTAATTAGTGTATAATGTGTATTACCATCTTCTTCATACAAAAATAAATCAATAGTATTTTTACAATCTCTCTCTGCCATTCTCAAAGGATAAATAGTCATATTATCATTTGAAAAAACATTTATTCCTGGAAGTTCTAAATTAAGTTTTTCAAATTTGGAAATGTCTTTTAATTTCATAGGAAAAGTAATACCTTTTGTGTTAAGTGAAAACTCGTACTTTTCTAAATCTTTTATTTTTTCTTCATGTGTTTCTTTTGGACAAAGATATCTCAGTATACACCACAAAAAGCATTTATCATCATTGTTTTTAATATTAACAATTGCTTTTTTATTTGATAACCAATCTGGAAGAGGAATGAAAGATGAGCCCTTAGTTGGATTAAACTCAAAAGTATTAACTTCAAGCTTAAAAACCTCTTTAAAATACCATCCGCTTCCATTTGTGTTAAATTCTTCTATACTATCTAAAATTTTACTAAAACATTTATTTATTAATTTTTCTGGATTTGTGGATACAAGATTTATATAAGTATGTGTACTAAAATGTGCTTTAAATTCTTCTACTTCTTCTACTCCTCTATCTGTCTTAACTGTAATTCTTTCCATTATACAAATTAAAATCATCTTAAATTTAATATTCCTATGATTTGTTAAAAATTCTTCTAAAGTAGCATGAACTCTACTTAAATATTCAGGAGGGTTAATACCAGGTATTCCTTCAAAAACATACTTAACAACAAATTTATCAAGAGCTGATTTTTCTATTTTAATTCCTTGCTCATGTTCATACTTAACTCTCTCAAGAGCTTTACGTAAATAATCAGGAGTATCTTTGGGAATCTTTTTATTCTTTATACATTCCTCAAAATACTCTTCAAATGTTTTTATCTTCCTTATTTTGGTTGAGGCTTTCTTTTTAAGATTCTTTCTTATATCAATACCACTTTTTACTTTTTGTCTAGCTTCTACCAATTTTTTATACTGATTTATTAATTTTCTTCTTGACGCTAATTCCTTATAATCTTTCTTAAGTTCTTCTTTTTCTTGTGCTATTATATGTCTTATTTCATCCAAAGACATATTCTGAAATTGTTTATCTGTTACAAAGGGTTGAGAACCCTGAAAACCATTTTCTGATTGGTTAGACATGACGTCTTCTAATAACTGATTATATTAGAAGACGAAAACTTTTAAATTTCAATTTTATTTATCCATGATTCCAATTCTAAATGTCCGTCACAAATTATTTTATCTTCAATGAAAAACCCAAGCTCATAGAAAAAACCCCTAACAACTATTTTATCTTTATTTATAATTAGATCAATAAAATACCAATCAACAATCTTAAGTCTTTCTTCTGTAGGATTAACAAAATATTCTTTAATAAAATTTAATAAATTTAAAATCAAATTATAAATAATAATTTTACTCCAATTTTCTTCATAAGATTTTTTTAATCTAATTATAATATCTTCAATATACAACTTTAATTTATCCAGTTTATTTATTCCTCTAATAAATTGATATTCTCTTTTATACTCTTTTGCATATTCTGGAATTTTATTATTAGCATTTTCCGTCATTTTTCCGATTAATTCCGTTTGAGAGGTAGTACTAAAGTTTCCCACAATACCCATTTTACTAACTACTATTACGAGGATGGGGTGGTATTTAATTTTCTTAATTTTAACTTTCTCACAAACGAAAATACTTATTTCTCGCTGGGGTTGAATTAATATAAGCAAGACGTGATTTATAAGTGATCAAAATTTAACAAAAGAACTGGCAATAATTAGTATGATATGTTAGCTTGTTTTTACTTAACTGAACAGGGGTTAGCCTCCTACACAAACATTCTTTGGGCTTTGTCACGCATTTCTTGATGTCAGGTGGGTATGGGGAGGGGCGCGTAACAAATCCCTATCAACGTCCACGTGGACGGCAAATGTCAAAAGCGAGAGAAAGAGGTTGAAACTGGCTAGAATGAAAGCAGGTTCAGGTGAAACGAGATTTTATAGTTATTAGGACTTTTCGGGCCTAGTAATTACCTTTTCCCCTCGCGCAAGACCGTTCGTAGTCTTTGAACACTAACCAGTCGTAGGTTAAAGAAACAGGTTAAGGGTAGTTCTAAGTCACCAGGGCCCAGTTGTTCGAAGGCCGATTAGCGCTTAACCCAGGTTAAATTTAACACGGGTTTCTTTTTCTTTTGTTCAAAAGCATTTTCTCGGATAATTTTCTCTGATATAATTTAAGAGCATCCAATCATATCAACTTGTTGACAAAATGAATTTCAATGAATTTACTTTTTAAAATTTCATATCTGAATTCAAATTTCGCACTAACGTAAACCCTGAGTTATCTTAACCCAGTTTGAACAATCCGCCCAGATTGTTAAGGATATAAGGCCTGTTTCTTAACTTCGTGAAAAATGCCCGTATACGGTATTTACGCACGAGTTGAATTGTCGTAACAGAAATCGAACAAGTGAGCGCAGCAAGAGCTAGCGAGATTTCTGATACAAAAATGCCAAGCCTAAACTTTTTCAGGCAATCTGGTAATGCATAAGTTAAGTTTATCTACTATGATCTTCTCTTCATTTATTTCTTTATTGCGCCGTTGAAATATATGAAATTCATATTTTCAATCATTTCATCTCCGTGACCAGCTCCCAGTTGGCTTGCCAGCTCAAGCGCTGCACCGGTAACGCAGAGGTCAGGGTTCCAATTCCGGCAAGCATGAATTTTTCAGGCTTTTTTTTCGCCGCAACTACATAAGTTGCGTCTTTAACTTAATCGCGGCGATGATCTTCTCTCCATTTATTTCTCCATTGCGCGGTTCCAAAATATGAAATTCATATATTCATCGTTTCATTTACTGTTGTTCGATTGAACTCTCTATTTACGTCTTTTACCTACAAAATTTTAAAGTACAGACTAACCTGGGGTGGCTCGTTTGATACGTTAACTTCCATACTTCGTTAAGTTACATAGTCAGTACATTTGCGGGATCTGAGACCTTAAAATGAAGAGAAAAAGAGGAAGAGAGCTTTCAACAAAATTAAAAGAGCAATTCTGAATATGGTAATCATCGATGATCGTGATAATGTTTAATAAATTTTTCAATAGAAGTTATTTCAAGTCTTCCCTATAGTCTACCGCTGCAGCGATACTCAATGGGTGCGCGCAAATGAATTTGATTTCGGCATGTATCAAGCATACCGCACCAGCAAGAGCTTGCATCAATTTTCTACTACGGCACATAAAACTTCGCTACCTTTACTTTTTTTATAATCATTCTACAACTGCTTTGGGTTTTTTGTGGGGCAAAACTTCTAGAGTGCTCGAGCAACCACAACAATGACGACGGAAACGAGAAATTGAAAATCAACAGGCCTAATATGTAAACAAACACTCTGAACGTGCAGCACACTCATTGGTGGAGTTGTTTGTCAGGGCGTCACCGCACGACTAATTTTGATCGAAGGGTTAAATAGCGATCGTCGCGACTTTGATTTCGTCGGAAATAGCCATTTTCAGTCTCATTTTTTCCTGATGAAGGACCAACCTCGTCCCCAGGGAAAAGCGCCCTGGGGACGAGGTTGGACTCGGAAAGACGCATTGCCAAAACGTCAGTCTCAGTCATACTTCAATCATTAAAGGTCATTCCTCTGAAATGGAAACTACACTGAGGATTTTTACAAACTTTTCCTATGTGAAATTCAATACAGTTAAACCCTGCTTTACTAAAACCCGCTTCAGTACGGCTCATTGTTACGGACAGGTTGCGTTGCCCCTGGTGAAAGAAAGTCCTTGCATTTTCTCTAAATTCAGCCCGCTTTGTACGGACAACCTGTTTATACGGACACTTCTTATGCCCCCCCTTCCCCCCCTCTAGTATCCATATTAACGTGGTTTGACTGTAATTTATCAGTGACTTTGTCTTGCTTTAGTAAGTTTGCACGGCTTGCTGTCATTTTGGAAACCCTCTTTGACGCTAGAAAAAACTTTGATAATTTGATAAAAGCCTATACAGCCAATTCCATGGCGACTGCCGCCATCTTAGAAAAATGATGCGCGGTATAGTTGGACAGTGCAAAACAGAGAACTGACCTTAACAGCATTTCACAACTGTATCTGCAGTCAGTTTTCCGATCCCATTCATGAAGAGAAATCAATTAAAAGACCCATTTCTCTCTTGCTTACCTCTTATCAAACTATCAGCCAGATTCTTACGTTCTATTTTTTCCAAAGCATCAGCTAATCCTCCAGCAATAGCTTCGCTTCCTTCTCGACCTATCCAACGTACCAAGAGATCTATGCAGCACTCCTTGGTAGAGCTCCCTTTTTCCTTTTCGATAGCTTCAATGATGACGTTTTTATAGCAAAGAACCCGAGCTAGTTCTTTCCATTTTATTCCAATGCCATCAGGAAGCTGTAGCTTATCGTCATTTTTGTTATTCTCAGCCATTTGATGACTCGGATATATGTCACATACAACAAAAGAGATGAATCCTTTGTCCGTTACTCGATCCTTTCCGAAGAACATCAACTTTTAAACGTTAAGACGCAATTCAGACAAAGTTGTGGTTGTCCCCATTAGAAACAAATTATTTTATAGTTCCCGAGTGCAAACAGCAGATAGGTGGCTGGCATACTTAAATATTGGTACTGTTACCAAATGACAAACGTGGATTCCTTTTTCTCTATAGACTCTATAAGGCAAAATCCCGAAAATATGTGTAATTATATTTTTTATTTTATGATAGGAGGGGCTTACTCTCGAAATTTGACGGTACTATTTTTTATTACAAAACTTGTTCCATTCTAAATCGGCACCTTCATCCGATCCAAAACGGGTCTAAAAATTGGTCCCTTAGAGCCGGTAGTAGATTTTCGTGGCCTATAGCATACTATAGCACTATTTATAGCCTTTTGAATAAAGACTGGAACGCCAGGATGCACTCGCATTCCATTGTATGTTTCGTGGTAGATAATTCATGCCATTGCTCGTTGTAGTGTTAGTCGTGGAAAAGTGTACCTACACGTCAATCCAATGCGGCAGTCAAATGGTTCAGATCAGCTAGTTTAGTTTGCCATTTACACTGCTGTAGCTCATCCCCATGATCATAGGTAGCAAGAGCACCGTCTGCCTCTCCATCGAAGAAAGCATTGCAGAAGAATTTATTAGAGAAGGGAAGAACCCTGTTGGCGCTAACATGTGCGCACTCTCTGGCTGTAATATTGCTTTTCATTTATTTATTTGGAGCATAATTATTTCTTTATTTGTCTTGGACACATAAACAATTACAATACATCACGTTTACAATGCATTACCACTAATACTAATTATCGGTTACTAAATTTTACCTTACCTTGAAACAGGTAACTGTTATCGTTTACAGAGGAAAAAAGTGTAATAAAAATAAAAAGAAACACAAAGTCCACAAAAATAGTATAGTTTATAGCGGAGCTCCACGCGCGCGAAGCGCGCGCGTGGGCGGAGCCCCATTGCTAAGTAAATCTACCCATCCCAGAAAATTTGGTAATCACGTGACCGTACACCGACCGACCGCCCGCCGTCCGTCCGCACCACGGGAAAACTAACGTTTACTCTCTCACTTTTAGCTAGTTTGGGAGCCCAAGAGAAAACTAATTGCACAGGCTGTACATCAATGTTGTGATCAGTTGACAGCTATCAAAACAGGGCATCCGCTGACTAGTATCACCTGACCGTACCGCGGGCTCAAGTGTCGACCCATCGAGGTCGAGTATTTTTTAAAGTTATCCGCTGACAAATTACCAGTTTCAAATGATCGCAGGCTCAAGTTTATTTTTTCCAAGGATTCATATCAAATATGTTGAGTTTATGTCACTATGGCCACGTACTATTAGGATTTTGATTTCAAACTGACCCTGTAAGCGAAATTTCATCCAGTTTTTTTAAAAGTACAGGCGGGGAAGACTTTATCTTACCATGGTCACGCGTTGGTCACGCTCTACGTCCAATTTTTATACTCTGATTGGTCAAAATTTGACAGGTGAGTTCATGCGGACAAATTATGCAGCATCTTGAAAGTAGTTTACTTTGACAGCTGAAGCTGACAGAGTTTTGTGTCAACTTGTGATGTTTTTAACTGTCTTTTTCCTCTGGATGTACAAAATGAAATACAGCTGCTCTCAAGAGTCTTCTGTTATTCATGGCTGGTTTGTTTACTGGGTTTTGGTTGACAAATGCGTCGCTTGTCAAAATTCGGTAATTCGATTTCGGATGGCATCGTTTTCGTTTTTCACCTTGCTTCAATGCGTAAGAGCTGCCTCGTACCCAGACGTCTCTCTCGATGTGCGCGCAAAGGAAGTCTGTACCCTTCCCATGGTCCCTTGCGGTGTATCACCAGTCACTCGTTTCGCGCTCGCCTCTGCCATGCGAAAAACGAAGCGCCTGAGGAGGAGGCTGGCGTAAGAGGGTTTAAAAGTCTCCAGCAACTGTGGCCTCCCTTGATAGCTATCAGGAACTGAATCTCGAATGGTAAGCCTAAGTAATTATTGTATTTGATGTTTTCATGAAGTCTTGCACAGTTCACGCTGACAATTTATGCGGCAAGTTTATGTAGGATTTGAGTCAATGATCTGACCTAGTATCAGGTTTGATATAGGCTTACAGATCTTTAAAAAGCCTTCAGATATATTTGCTCACCACAAATAGAAAGAAAACGTTCCGAAGAATATTTAGTTATAAATTTGGCTGTAGAAAGAAAACTTTGAGCGATTTTCTTGCTTCGAGGAGTTCACCTTCGAAAACAGTAAACACCGCGCCGGGAAGCCGGCTAAAACATAAACTTAAGCTTTACGCTTAAAGACTCAGGATTTTTAGAGACACTTTAATACTTGTCTTCGTGAATGAAAATTGTTGTCTCTGTAAATGTTTCACGGAATTATATCTCTTTTTTTTATTGTTAGTAGGCTCTCTTGCAATTTTAATCGCTTGTCCGTGCCGTTTGTTTTCATCGTTCATGACCATCGCTTGCAGGAGTGCCCAAAAATGTCGCGCGTATCAAACGCTTTATAAGATTACACATCGTTATAACTGAAACCATTAAATAACAAAACAAATAATAATAAATTCGCTATTACGTTGAAGCGTAACTCTGTTAAAGTTCATTCAAACACTCGACCACACTGACAGCTCGCATTTACCATTTGGCTTGAACTTCAATTCCCCCGTTCGAAGTCACGCTTGTTTTGTTTTGTTTACAGACCTCCCTCCGCAAATGCTGCTTTTACGGGTCTTCTGGAAGAAATGCTATCTCACTCAGACTACAAAAACTTATGTACAGTCGTCCTCGGTGATCTTAATTTTGACCTGCTGGAAATGCCAAGACCAAGTGCAACAAAAAACTATTTAAATATATTTCAAACTCTGGGCTTCGAACAATTAATAACAAAAGCAACCAGACCTATTTCAAATTCTCTTTTGGACCACATATTTGTTTCTCAGAAAGACTTTGTTACAGACTCTGGAACTCTACCGCTGTCATTTAGTGATCACCTTCCTATTTTTGTATCCTTGAATTCCAGGAGTAATATTTTTAAACAGCCCGGCCATAAAACTCTGCATATTCGCTCACGCAAATCGCTTTCTATTGACGCTTTCATAGAGGACCTTTCTTGTGCTCCCTGGAGTACACTTGAGATGTTTAATGATCCAAGTGAAGCGATTGAACAATGGTATCTTTTGTTCAATAGTGTTCTAGACACACACGCACCTGTGAAGTCCCGTCGTGTCAAACGACCTCGGCCACCTGATTGGTTTAGTGCTGAAATAGGTGTTACTATACAGGAACGTAACCGCTTGCATAAATTAGCTTCAGCTCATAACAACTCCTCTAACTGGGATGCCTACCGGCACGCCAGAAACAAAGTAGTTCATATGATACGCAGTGCGAAGCGTGTGTTTTATCGCAATGCAATCAAGAGTAACCTTGACAATCCTAAAAAAATCTTTGGAGAATCATTCGTAATATCAGTCCCGCAAAATGCTCAAATCTTCCTGGGCACTTAA